GTGGAGAGCCGTTAACCAACATGCAAATTAGCCTGCAGTACCACTGCTCTACCCATATGAGCAGCAAAAAGACGTTTTTAGACCAAATATTACAGATTTGAACAAATACGCACAAAAACATCACAATTAGCACAGAAACAGTACTATATAACATTTTAGACACATTCTAGACAGTTTATCAGCTAAAAAAAGTTAATTTTGYGGTAAGTTACTCTTTAACTGTATTTTGCACTTGTAGTCTTACGAAAGCGTACTGTAATTAGATCTTGCCATTGACAAAGAACAAATCCAACAAATCTGCTGCTGATTTTACAATAAATTACCAGAAAAATATTTTTAAATGCATAAAAGCATGTCGGTGAAGATGATGAACCAGAATCCTTAACATAAAACGGCTGCACAAGTCGTCACAAAAACAAATTTTGGATTTGGACTCCACAAACTTTGCATTTTGCCAGTCTCATGTCATGGCATTGAATAAAGTCTCTGTAAGCAAAGCTTATAATGAATGGCAGGGGAGCTGCCTACTGCAACGCACCTGCCATGCTGAAGCTCTGTTTGTCACGTAGGGTATGCGTCATTAACATTGGACGGCGCTGGCCCCTCCCGTTCTCAGGCGAGGGGGAGCGGAGCGGAGCATGGATGTGTATTGAGGGAGTGAGCATCGTGAGCTGGGCAGTGAAAAGACTTGCATTGTTCGTGAGTCTCAAATCACGAGTCCAAGTCAAGTTTCTAATAGTAGGGATTTAAGAGTGACTCAAGTCTAAGTCTGAGTCACAAGTCCCATTTTTGATTCTCTCCATATTTCAAGCTGTAGTTCTACATAAAGATCTTTGCAAATGTGATTAACTCTGATTTATGAATATAAGCTCATATAAAATTTGGCATTAATATCATCATAATGAGAGAGAGAGAGAGAGAGAGAGAGAGAGAGAGAGAGAGAGAGAGAGAGAGAGAGAGAGAGAGAGATAGCGAGCTATAGCGAGCTCGATTGCCATCATACAGAGCACAATGTAATTACAGTTCAGAACACTCATTCAGAAGAAGACAGAACAAACATGGGAGTACATGTGCCCTGGGTCATGCAGCCACAGACCCCAGCACAGAGCAAGGATCATCTTCAAGAAGACATCATGAGGAGGCGCAACCCTTAACAGAAAAACTAAGAAGTACACAAGGGAAGATGAGGAAAAAAACATCATATTATATKAACAATGTGACACGCTATGATGTTTATAAAAATAACTCTGCATAGAGCAGATTTATGAGCCAGAGGAGTAAGTGAAGTCATGAGTGTTGTATGCTTGTGTGAATATCTGAAGAATGAGCCCGAAGAATCAAGTCCTCAAAAACCAGCGCAGCCATAGTTCAGAATATGGATGGTAACTGTTCATTCTGTGCAGCTTCAGCCTTCTCCAGGAACCAGATTACACACGGGTGTGAGAGGGAGGGAAGTGTGGGGGCAGAGCCTTGTCGACGTAATCCAACCAGGAAGAATTTAGTCAATAGCTCAAGCCCATGTAGGGGAGAGCCAGATTCTGTAATCAGTTGTTTTGGGAACAGAAGAGTCAGGCAAACGATAACAATTTTGCATCTGCTTCAATGTCTGCTGGTACATCTCAAGGTGGCGAATCCAATCAGACAAATAGTGTGGACAATTCCGCCGAGCCGATATATCACCTTCTCCAAGATCAATTCCATCTGGCCAGCAAAGTCCAGGGACCACAGGCAGCCCGCGACCCTCAATTGAACCGCTTGCAGACCGAGTTCAGCTCGCTCAAGGCAAATGTCCGAGTGCTGAATAGTACGGCCATCCATCATATTGGTCAGGCAGCCAGGAGATGAAAAGGCACCGATGTTGTTTTGTAGAACACCAGGAGACCACCAAGCCAATCTGTATAATCCAGTGATCGGAATCCAGATACTGTGTATAAACTGTATATCCAGAACAGAGAAGAATATAGGTCCCACCTTTGACATGTCCTCCCATGGAAGAAGAAAAAACTTTGTTCCACAAATGTATTAAGAGACCAGCTAACAAAATCCATAAAAATAAAAATATCCATAATTTCTGGTTTCGGATGAAAAATGTAGAGAAGGCTCCAAGCAGCAAAGCAGGGAAGATAAGGAAGGGCAGGAGAGAAGGGAAAAGTGTCTTACTCCTCCGAGAGCGGAACAAAAATAAATAAATAAATAAATAAAAAAATTASTGGCATTAAAGCTATTTCTGTATTTTCCAAAGTTACTTGGATGTGGTAACCGTCTTGAATGGGACTGAATCCTAAAACTACAGAGTCAACAATAAAACACAGCTCATGAAATAAAAAATACAATAGTGACACAAGCGCATTAAAACCAAGTAATAAATAGAGTAGGATACATAAAATCAGATCAAACAATATCACATAAAACCATAAAAGTGCAAAACAGATAAAAAAATTCATGAAGTCAACACTTGACAAAATGTCAGGCCAAAAGCCAAGGGAATAGATGTGTTCAAAGAAGAGTTTTAAAAGCAGACAATGAAGAGGCCTGTCTAAGATGGCAGGTTGTCCCACAATTTAGGAGCTGTTACAGCAAAAGCTGGATCCCCCTGAGCTTAGGTCTAGTTTTAGGGACACTTGGAAGCAGCTGGTCAGCTGAATTAGAAGTTGCATCACTGCATGCTTGAAATTATTGGGGACCACAATAGAGCACAGAATACGTTTGATAATTTTATGTGCAAATAATCCTAGAGTGAGAAAAAACATTTTAAAAAGTCAAGGAGGGCCAGAACCATTTGGAGAACTTGATGGCTTCTAAAGTCAAATAATCTCCTGGAAAAAAAAGACAGAGTCATAGGTTCAAACCTGTCTAAGACTGCACAAGCGAGGACATGTGACAAAATCACAGACAGGAGAATAGATTAAGATCCTTGTGGTTCTGTTTTTGTCATGAAACTGCGACAATCTGAACTCATTTTGGCAGTTCAGAGGAAGTATTCAGGAGACTTTATTGATCTCAAGGCAGCTGGGACCACAGTCACCAAGAAAACCACTAGCAACACATTATGTCGTAATGGATTAAAATCCTGCAGTAGCCGTAAGCTCCCCCTGCTCAAGAAGGCACACGTGCAGGCCTATCTGAAGTTTGTCATTGAACACCTGGATAATTCTGAGAGTGACTGTGAGAAGGTGCTGTGATCAGATTAGACAAAAATTGAGCTCTTTGGCATCAACTCAACTCGCCATGTTTGGAGGAAAAGAAATGCTGACTTTGACCTAAACACTGTCCCCAATGTCAAGCACGGAGGTGGAAACATGTTTTTGGGGTGTTTCTCTGCTAAGGGCACAGGATTACTTCACTGCATAAATGGGAGAATGGATGGAGCTATGTACCATAAAATCCTGAGTGACAACCTCCTTCGCTCTGTCACAGTGGGTCGTAGCTGGGTCTTCCAGCATGACAATGACCCAAAACATACAGCCAAAGCAACAAAGGAGTGACTCAAAAAGAAGTTCATTAAGGTTGTAGAGTGGTCTAGCCAGTCTCCAGACTTTAATCCCATCAAAAACCTTATGGAGGGAACTGAAACTCCGAGTTGCAAAGTGACAGACTCAAAAACTTAATGAATGAGAAATGATCTGTAAAGAGGATTGGACCTAAATTTTTCTTGACATGTGTGCAAACCTCATCATCAACTTTGCTTGCCAACTAGGGTTTTGCCACCAAGTTTTATGTCTTGTTTGCCAGAGGCTGAGAAGTCTTGAGAATTTTAAATGAAACATTTAAACAAACAGAAATGAAAAATTATTCTTCCATAGTCATATTTTATCAGTTTGTTTCCTGAACTGACGGCGGTGTGCGACTGGTACATGCCCAGTAGTACCAGTGTGGGCCATGTCAGCCTTGTTTTTATCTCTTTCCATTCTATTATTTCTCTCTCAGTGTACAGTTATCCCTTTTTATCATAAGCTAATGACTTCAGGGCCTTACCTGCCAAAAGCCCCGATGTACAGGTGCTGGTCATAAAATTAGAATATCATGAAAAAGTAGATTTATTTCAGTAATTCCATTTAAAAAGTGAAACTTGTATATTATATTCATACATTACATACAAACTCATAT